TCACGGTGCTGGTGGGACCCTGCGGGCACCAGCCCTGGGCTATGGACGCGAGGGCCAGGCTGAGCGAGGTCAGAAATTGCACCTCCGGACGGGGCGGGTTTGTGAGCTCCGCATTCAGGGGAAGCCCGAGGGGTTCTCCTTGCAGACCTGCTCCGGGAAGCAGCCGTGGGAACAGGCTGTGCCCCACGATGGGGGAGCACGAGGGCAGTGCCCTACCGTGTGCTCGCTCGTCCTCTCCATCCCCCAGTCACGTTGGTCCCCATTTAAGTGCCACCAGCCCTGGGGCTTGTCCTCTCTCCGTCCCTTCTCACGTTCCTACGTCTAAACAAAACCCGTTGGAGCGAAGTGCTCCCGCCCCGCACACGAACGCTGTCTCCTCCCTGTGCCCAGTGGCAGGGATGAACCACCTCCGCGAGAACGGCGTTGTCCACAGAGACATCAAACCCGGGAACATCATGCGGCTGATGGGGGAAGATGGGCAGAGCATCTATAAACTGACGGATTTTGGGGCCGCCCGGGAGCTGGATGACGATGAAAAGTTTGTGTCTGTCTACGGGACAGAGGAATATCTCGTGAGTATGGTGTGTTGCCAGTCTGGCAGCCCCTGGGAGTCCCCATCCCTCCATCCAACAGCTGGGCAACTTGTAGAGAGCAGCAGTGACTCGGAGATCCCCATTTTGCAGGGGACACATTTTCTGAAGGGGGGTAGGCTCAGCATTTTTGTTGTAGAGATACAAGTGACATTTTGTTTGGAAATTCCAGCAGTAGAAGAGGCCAAAGCGAGCAGTCAGTTGTCAATCCCAGCACCCCAGGCTTGATGCTGGACACGTTGGCAGCGCCTGCTCTCTGCATCACCCCTGCAGCACCCGGACATGTACGAGCGAGCGGTCCTGCGCAAGCCGCAGCAGAAGGCGTACGGCGTCACCGTCGACCTCTGGAGCATCGGCGTCACCTTCTACCACGCTGCCACCGGCAGCCTGCCCTTCATCCCCTTCGGGGGACCTCGCAGGAACAAGGAGATCATGTAGGTACAGCTGGGAGGGCTGGGTGCTGCTGCGTGGGGAGGTGGCACCGTGGCTGGTGGCCCTGGGGGCTGCAGGACAACCTGGCTGCGGCTCGGTGCGTGCCAGCAGCACCGTGGGACTGCGCGCCGTAGTATACTGCTCGGTTAATCCCATGCAGCCCAGAAAGCCTTGAAACGCAGCCCGTGGCTGATTCCATACTCTCTGCACTAGGGAGAGTGTGCACGTGCAGCGTGGCAAAGGATCTGCGCCCGTTTACCACGTTTGCCCTCAAAATACATCCTCGTGACTTTGTGGCTAAACAGCTGGAAGAGGAGGCAGGGTTAATGTTTGCTTGAAGCATTTTGACTGTTTCTTGAAGTATTTTCCCTCTATACATTCTTCTCTTTCTGTGAATCGTGTCTTTCCCAACCCATCCACATTTGGCCCTTTCCCTCTTTGCTGAACCCGAGGGACGTAGTGCCCAAACAGAGGTCACTGGGCTCGTTTCGTGAGCAATTTCCTTTCCACAGGTATAAAATTACCACCGAGAAGCCTCCCGGAGCCATTGCGGGGGTCCAGAGGCAGGAGAACGGGAGCATCGAGTGGAGCTACGAGCTGCCCGTCACCTGCCGGCTCTCCGCGTGAGTGTCCCTTGCTCCCGCTGCGGGTCTGACGTCCTGGCACCGCGGCTGGAGAGGGCATCCCACCTCAGACAGCGTGGGACGTTTTAACGAGGCAGATGAGCTTTTCATCTGCAGACGTCAGAGCTCTCGGACCAGGTCTTTGCTCTACAGCTGGGAAAAGGGGGTGCAAGACAAGGCAGCGGCTCCGTCAGTACGGGAGCTCAGCCGCAGAAAAGGGGCTGCACCTCTCCCCGGCCCCGCAGGTCACTGGATTTATGGCTCAGCGTTACACCGGTCTGTGCAAACATCTCTTCTTCTTCTCCTCTTGCTGCCGCAGGGGGTTGAAGGACCAGCTGATACCCATTTTGGCTAACATCCTGGAGGCAGATCAGGAGAAATGCTGGGGATTCGACCAGTTTTTTGCGGAAACCAATGACATTTTGCACAGGATCGTGGTTGACGTCTTCTCCCTGCAGCAGGCTTCCTCGCATCGTATCTACATCCACCCCTACAACACGTAAGGATGCCCTGTGAAACAGTGTTTCACGTTAACAGCGAATTTGGGAATTGAGCTCAGGAACGTCAGCCTCTTGTTTCAGCAGACGAACCTGGGGAGGAGTGCCCGTTCCCTTTGCACCGCACTTAAACCAGGTTAAAACAAACCAGGTTAAAACGAGCCAGGCTTTGCTGGGAGTGCACTGAACAGGAGCCGTCAGCTCCTGGCATGCACATGGAGGTTGTCCGGGGGCCTTCGCTGACCTTGTGGGATGTTTTGCTACGAGAAGAGGGTGGCAGGCCGTTAAAGCAATGGAAATCTGAGCGGGCGTCTCCTTGCTTATTCCCCATCCTTTTGTTCCTTTCTCATTTCAGTACCACCAAGTTTTTAGATGCTGTCTTCAAACAAACAAACATAGTCCCTCACCATCAAGAATATTTTTTTGAAGGTCATCTGTATGAGTTGGATCCTAATCTGCAAGCTCATAATTTCTGCAAAACCACACAGCACAACCCTCTGACCTTGCTGAGCTCTGCTGAGCCAGCAGAAGACGTGGTAGGAGTGAGATACAGAGACCGTGAGTACCGTTGGCTTGGAGACACATCACGGCATGCTTCGTCCGGGGACAGGGTGGGAGGTTCGCTTAAGTTATCATCCTAATAGACCCCAGAGCAGAGCAGGAGGTGGAGGGGTTACGGTGCTGGAGCAGGATTAGGAGGTTTCAGGGCCAGTTTTCCTCTCCGTGAGCTGTTGCTGCACGGCTGCCCACCACGCCGGGCTTTGCAGGCGGTTCGTGCCTTTCTCCACATTCCCAAAATATCTTGGAGAGCTGCACTAAGCCTCCAGCATCGCAGCTGCTCCTGTGCCTGAAATCCTGAGCGGCTGCAGGGTTTGCTTCGGCGGGTGTGAGATGTCCCTGTGGGTCTGCAGCCGCAACTCGGGGGCTCCGGGCTGGCTCCCCAAAGCACCGTGACCGCTGTCTGTCTTTCCAGCGGCACTTGAATTCCCAAAGTTCGTCCCCAAGGTGGACGTGGTGGCCGACTGCAGCGCAGCCAAGGTAGG